TTTTTTTATTTACATTAACTTTCTATCCCAAACATTTTTAAGGCCTTTTTAAATAATTGTACTTTTTGTCTTTCCTTAGCGATGGCTGATGTCTTCAGAGGCCTAAACCTCCTTGAAACCCTTAAGGAATCTATTGAGAGCAATAGGTTATCAGATGTTAAGGATGCAGTGGAAGACCTCCTTATCAGCAGGATCAATTTGGGTGTGGTGGGGGACCGTGGGGAAGAAAAAGCTTCCTTCATGAACTCCCTCCGTGGTCTTGGGGCTGGCGATGATGGAGCAGCTCCTTCTCCAGCCTCTGTTCCTCCAGATGGTTTAGCAGGCTACCCTGACCCCAAACACCCTGACTTTCGCCTGTGGGACCTGCCACCTGTTCCAGACATATCTCCATTTGAACCAGAGGGATACATGGATAGATACAAGTTCCTCCGCTACAATGCAGTCTTTATGACATCCACACAGACAGTCCAACCCAACAGTGTAGATGTTTTCTTGGAGGCCCTTTCCCTGCAGCGACAAACTGTGTATTTCATTCTCTTAGCTTCAGTTAAAGATTCAGAAAAGATCCTGGAAGAAAAAAAGAAAGCCAGTCTGGAAGTGCTGAAATCAAAGGGTATGGCACAGCCTAAAGTCTACCTGGTTGCACCAGCCACCCTGGAGAGGTTTGACTTCCCTACTCTGTTAGCAGATATGAGTAATGATCTTCCAGAGATCAAGGCACACGCCCTTGTCTTAGCTCTACCAACACTCACCTCAGCTCTAGTCACTCAAAAAAAGGAAGCATTTAAAGCACTAGTATGGGCAGCTGCCTCACTGTCAGGTGGGGTATCCGCAATTCCTGTTCCCCTTGTTGCATCTATGGTGGATTCAAGTATAGGAGTGCGAATCTTGACCAAAGCACGGTTATCTCTTTGCCTGGATAATGAGTCCGTGGAGCGATTAGCCCGACAGCGAGGCATGGAACCTACAAAACTCAAAGAGTTACGAAACTGTGTGTTGTCAGTAGAGGTTAGCAAGGGTGAAGTGAAAAGGAGGTTGGCGGCAGCAGAGAAGGACTTGGCCACTGTTTCGTCGAAGCTGCTGGAGATGGCGATGCCTAGAAATGCTCGTTCGGTCAGCCGCTCCTTTGCTGCTATGCTGCAGGCTTTAAACAGTGCTATTGATGAGATGGCAGCTGATGCTCAAAACATACTAGCGGCTGCTCATGCAAAGGGGAAATGAAGTCAATTTTTTTTTCTTCATGTAATGTTCAAAAGTGTATATTTTTCATTTATAATACAAAAGTACACTGTTAACACCATGTGAGCATAAATTCTGCAAATAAATGCCAAGCACTTTAAGATTCTCTGTGCTTGTCAATGCAGTGGTGTACACTTGAGAAGTTATTTATTTGTAAAAAATGTTTGGAATCATGTATGATTTTTGTTCCACTTCTCACGTGTACACCACTTTGTATTGGTCTTTCACGTGGAATTTCAATAAAATTGATTCATGTTTGTGGCTGTAATGTGACAAAATGTGAAAAAGTTCAAGGGGGCCGAATACTTTTGCAAGCCACTGTAAATACTCACAAAACAGAAGCTTTCACTTTTAATAACCATGCTTTAAATAGATGAAGTGGGAGGAACTGAATGTGTACTGTAACAAGCTTGTTGAAAACTTCATCTTCAGATTCTCTTCTAGCTTGACTGGGCATGCAAATATATTCAAGGTTTTAAGTCAACTGTGAAAACTTCCTTTTTGCTACTTTAGGAGGGGTCATGCATTCTACATACCCTAACTGGATCCTCTAAGGTAAGAATAAGCTTTGGTATGGAAACCTCTTCCTTTTTCCTTTTACTGCCTATTTCAAGTTGTCAGTAAGTATGTAATCTCTGTCTGTACTGATTCATCACCGCTGCAATGGTTATTGTCTTTTTTTTTTTTATAGAAAACCTGAAGTTTTGAGTTGAATTATTTCTGATCTGGATTCCAGGTTTCCTTTGAAACATTACCCTTATATCCACAGAACAAAGTATTCTTTCATTCTTCTTTCTTCTTATGTGTGTGTAATGAATTGTTAAATGCATAAGTGACGCAAAAGTACTCTATCAATAAACCAACAGCACTATAGTGATGCGTTAAAAACAATTTTTTTTCTCCAAAGAACAAAATTTAAATTGCACTGCTGTAGATGTGTGAAAAAATGACCCAAGTGTAACCATTTAATTAACTATAAGGTTTCAAGAAGCAACAGCTTTCTGAAAGCTGTAGCAAACAGGAAGAAGGAAAATCCTGACAGTCACGTATTTGCACTGAAAACAAAAAGCTACCTTGTTATAAGTTGTAAAGCTTACAGTATGACTCAGTCCCATAAAAAAATATTCTTTGTTTTTTGTTGCAGAAATCAAGCTTTAGTTCTATGTGATAATGACAGGTCACACCCTTTGGTGGTTGATTTTGCTGTTTCTAATACAAAGTAGGTGTTTCATTACTCCATAATTAGTGCATTGTTTCCTTTTAACATCTGATTAGGGTCACATTTATTAACGAACTTTCTCACTGGTTTTTGTCATCGCTATAGGGTTTTCTTGTGAAATTCATCCTGAAAATCCCTTCAAATTACAAGACTCTAACTTGACAGCTACAGAGGGGTCCTGCATTGAAATCAAATGTCAAATCATAAAATCTGTCAGTGATGGTCCGGCGTCCTGGTTTTGGATGAAGGATGCAGTTTGGATAAATGGCAGTTTTAGTGCCACTACTATTTTCAGTTCTTCTGAGTCAAAACATCCTGTCAATGCACACTTTGCAAAAAGGGTGAAATATATCAGCTCTCCATCTAGTAGTTGGAAAAATCCTCCTTCCTCACTGTGTAGTATATTAATTCGCGACCTGAATAAAACTGACACTGGAAACTATTCTTTTAGATATGTAGGAACATCTTCAAGTGATATTTGGACTACACAACCATTTACGAACCTCACAGTCACAGGTAAGAGCAAAGATCAGAGTGCTGAAAGATATACTGTTTTCATGTTTTATATTTTAGAGTACAAAACACTGAACTGAGCTGCTGTGGTTACAGAAAAAATCTGATTGGTTAAAATAATTTGATAGATAAAAAAAAAAACCAATGCCTTTTTTAAACTGAAGAAATTGCAACATAGAATTCATACATAAAATTTGGTCAGAAAAAAGTCATTTCACATATTTTATTTCATTAAGATGATAATAATGAACGATTTCTTGTATGAGAACTCCATTTTTGGCACCTTATTTGCATTCCCCTTGGAAATATAAGTAAAGCAATCCCTTAGGTTTCATTTAATGGAACATAGTACAGATAAACAATACAGCTATATGCATACTAGCCATATTTAGCTAACACCTGATATTCCAATCCTCATGAGTTTTAACTAAGCTAGTAACATCAATGTATGATCCTGCAACCGTTTTTTAAATCTTCAGGGAGCAGCCTTATATTATTTGTTCCTAAAACAAACATATTTGTAGGGCTTGTATGCTATACTTTTAGATTTTATCACATTCCTGTTGTCTCTACCTTTACATTTGCAGAAAATCCATGTCTGCTCACTTTTGAGGAACCAAAAAACGTGACTGAAAATGGCAATGTAACACTTACATGCTCCACATTAAGCTCCTGTACTTCAGGCCTAAAAATTGAAGGTCCTTCGGCATCACTTTCCCAAAGCAAACCAGAGAACCCTAAAAAGACCACACTGAGTTTTAAAGTCACTTGGGAGGATGATGGGAGGATGTTTTCATGCCAAACAGAGAACAATACAGATCCATGTTTGATTCGGAATATCAGCCTCACTGTAGGATGTAAGTTCATAACTGAAAGTTTATTAATGTAATTTCTACTGAAGTGTGAACCTAATTACTACTTTTGTAAAAGATATGAATGATGTTAAAGAGTCTGAGGACTAAGGGAGTAAAATTATTACATTACTTTATTACAAAAATTAGATTATTAAATAATAAAAATTTTAACATTTTGTTAGCTGCCATTATTTCTCTGATAAAAATGAATCTGTGAAACATCTGTTACTACTGTGTCAGAGTCAGATTAGAAGAAAGTGATAAAAAAAAAATTGATTTAAACAGATCTGCCACCAGAAAATGATCTTGTTCTGCTGCAAGATGAAAAATAGAAAAGTAGTGTGTTTCTGTTTTTTCTAACTCATTTCAGAAAACCTGAATTGGTACAGTGTGACACCTGCGTTGTAATAAATGTGATTAGCTATTTTCACCTTGCTGCATTTGTAAATATATGGATGTATCTGAAATCCAATACTTGTTCTATTCTGTCTATTTCATTTGTGTAAACAATCAACACACGGTGTACCTGTATGCACACTATTTGCTAATCTGTATTGATTTGCCTTTTGAACAGATGCTCCCAAAGACATGTCTGCAAATATAAGCTCTAACATTGTAAAGGAAGGAGAGTCTGTCAGTTTCACTTGCTCTGCTAAAGGACAACCTGAGCCCACTTTTACATGGACTAAAGATGGTCGAGATCTTGACTCAAAGGCCAATTGGATGATCTCATCAATTACTGCATCACAGAATGGATCATATATCTGTAAAGCTGTAAACAAATATGGGAGTAAAGAATTAGTGGTGACTGTCGGGGTTATTTGTGAGTATTGTTTCACATTAATTATATTGATCTATTCTTATAA